ACCATTAGTTTAGCTGACTGAGTTAAGCTGCAGTCTAAAAAAATTAAATAAAATATGTTATATAAAAATTAATACTGAATGTCAATTTTGTATGTAAGAAGAAGGCTCTAGTGATTTATTGATATGGCTGATAGGATATGGTATGATTTGTATCTCAAAATGGAGTTTTTTTACATATACTTTAAGGTTAAATGAAATGCGACATTTAAGCTAAAGCATAGCCAGGGGAAATTAAGATATCTAAAAGCATTGATAAAATGAATTTCAAATGATATCAGACAGTTTAAAATACAAAATTTAAAAAAAAATTGCAAATCTATTTTTTATTTTTAACACTCTAGTACTATTTCAACAAAAATGAAAGTTCTAATCTAAAGAATTGGATTTGATATACAGTAGAACCTCGTTTTTACGTACCCCAGTTATATGAACCCTCCGTTTTACGTACGCCTCGTATCGACGATGACGTCATCAAAACCCCAAAAATATTCAAAACAAACGACCCTTTTCAGAGCAACCATAAGTAAAAAGACTATAACAATAAACTATAACAATAAACAAACCATAATGCAACGTATTTTCATTAAACAGCAACGTTGATTGAGTCTAATACCGGGTTGTTATAATCTAAAACCAAGTGAACTGAGTGAGATATGGCAAACCATGGAAAAACTTGTCTGGTCTAATTTTCTACACGAAGCTGAGTAGGCATAGTTTTGTACACGAACGCTAATTGGTTGGCTCGCCCAGTGCAGTGCACATGGTTTTGCTGTTTCACGTACAAGAACGCTAATTGGTTGGCTCGCCCAGTGCACATGGGTTTATTTTTTCTCAACAGGCCCAGACAACACCACAGCTCTGTTGTTTAGAATAGGCATGAAGTTATACCTTTGTCCTATAGGTAATCTTACAATATTTTCACGTTCTTTTGTTAAATAAAAGACATAAAGTGATGAATTAATACACTAGACACATGGTTTTATTTCAACACTTTATTATGACATCGT